GTTCTGACAGGAGCGGTGAGTGATCATCATCTGAGCATCTACACAAATCCACTGCTGAGAAAGAGAAGTCAAAATGTCACTTCAAGACACCAACCTGAGCACTGCTTTTGCTTCAGCTTTCAAATCTTCCCCCTTCTGCTACTCTGACGTTTTTCCTATGGTGACAAATACTGAAAATCTCCACCCTCTGAAAGAATTCCAGACATGAGAACGGGCACAGAGATAGAACAAGAGTAAAAATCTGCATCACCTGGCATGAAAGGGGCAGGATAAATAAAGTGCTTTCATGATACTTTTCATTTTTAAATATCTCTGTAGAAATTAACCCTCTCCAAGTTACTTACAAGAATGAAATTACTTCATCAAAACACAGAATATCTGTGTTTCGCAGAACTATTAAGGGTCCATGTCATTCGCATTCTATTGTCTGCCTTTATCCTTCATAAAACAAAGATTTTAGTGGGGTTTTTTAAATGAATTTAAAGTTTACATGAGCTACTAAGGATTAAAGTGGTCATCTCTGTCAGGCTTTTCTAAGAATACCCTTCCAGTATCACTTTTAATATTGAGACTGCTTTAAAACAAACTCTACCCTGATACACAGAAAAATTATTACGGTACTATAAAGTACTATAAAGTGTTCTGCCCTCTGAAAGGGCTTCTCCAGGATCAATGGATGGACCATGCTATGCTGGGGCAGATCGCTGTAGTGTCAGGGTATATATGAGTTCTTTAATGACTTCACAATTGCTACTGCTTCACTGCTTCACGTACATTAGGTTTAGCAGAGGTTAATTGTTTGTGCGACCATTGTTCCTTCTGTGGGTTTGCCTCGAAACCTTTGACGTTCTCTTTATTTTACCTCTTACTGTGTGAATTTCCTTGTTTTGTTTTGCTTCCCAAAGTAATTTTTGGTTGATAATTGCGTAGTCAGAGCATTAGAGTAATAACATCTAATTGTACATACAAAGAAAAAACATGTAATTGTGGGAGACTAGATTCAATTTAAAGAAAGAAAACCCCTCCACCAGGGTTTCTTGTGGCTTGCACAGTGCATCTGCCAGGCAGTGCTGCTTTGATTGCATCTAACCTGCAATCAGCATGTGCAATTAAGACATAATGTGTGCAATTGCATTATTTCGGGATGTAACAGCAATATTTAGCAGTTACTGTACAAGACACAGTGCTTATAAGCCCAAATGATTTATCAGCATTTACCAATTACACCACAGGAAGGACGGCAGGCACGTGAGTGGGCCTTACCTACAACTGATTTCCAGGATGAACACATTTCAGCCTCCTGTTGGAAAGCCCATGGAAGTAGCCAACAGGGAAGAGAGACTGGGCAGAACTGGCACTGTTGAAAATGCAGGACTCAAATGACGCTTTGAGCTTACCTTTGGCTTGTCATAGAGCTCCTGTGTAACATAATAGGAGAAAGCAGACTTAACATTTAGTATTTCTGAATTATTCTCCTCTGCCTTCAACATTTTTAGTTAGCTTCGTAAGCCAAATCAAGGATTTAAAAATAAAAAAAGATATTTGAGCAGTGACTAATGCCTTGGTCTGTGTGTACGAGTCTCAAGCACATAACAGCTTTGTACATGCTCTTACCTAGCATTCTGGGAATTCAACTCTACCAGTTCTACCAGGCTTTTTTTAGAGGACATTTCTTGTCCTATAAGGGTCAAATGATATTTGAAAAGCATCTTAATGCATCATGGAAAGGTACAAATGAAAATACATTTTGATTCAGTCACACAGAAATAAAGATAAATCTGAATTTCTAGGCGCAAACTTTGACTAGATAAACTGAGGTGTTCTGAGTGCCAAACTGCCGGTGTTGAAATGAAAGATCCCAGTGATAAAACTCAGGGCCTAATCCAGCTAGGGTTTCCAGTTAAATCTGTGGTACTTAAAAGTATTAAAATCACACATAGCCAGACTCTATTGATTAGTATTAATCTATCACAGAAAATCATATTAGAAGTCCTGAGACACAGACTCCTTGTTCCAGGCACAATGATTTGTGTAGGTGATTTTTATGTGGACCCACCACAAAATGCCAAAAGTTCTCAGAAGATGCATCCAAAAAACTAAGAGCAAAAATTTCCTCAGCATCCCTTATGACTAAATGCTTCCTTTCCTACCGAGAAAAGATTATTAGCAGTAGACACAAGAAATGACAAACAGCCAATAGATCAGCTTCTACATCTGTTCATACCTGTACCTCACGACTTCCAGAACTTGGTTTAGCACCCTAAGAGATGGTGCTTGTCAGTAACTAGGCAAGGGAGCTCAAGGGCTAATCTCATCTACCTAGAATAGTAAAAAATAAATAAAACGGGCATTTCTGCACAGAAAATATAGCTTCTGCGTTCCAAAGCAAAAGTAAGATAAATTGTGACATTTTTTCATTCAAGATGTTTATTAAAGATGATATGGGCACCACACACAGATAAAATCCTGAAGCAGAATTAAACTAGGTTTCACATTTTAAAGCTCTTTTGGCAGTTGCTTCTTTGTCTGGAGTGCTCATAAGTACTTTCTTTGTATACATCTCTGTTGTTGTAGATTGATAAAAAACAACCACAGCCAGTACTTATAAGTGTGTAATTTATTTCTCTTTTTTTTTTTAAATCTCCAGCTACAAAATAGACATTTTGTAAATACTAGTCCTAAATAGGCAACTATAAGAACATTACATTAGTCCTGAAATGAGATCATCATATTGCACACCTGGGACGTGATAAGGGGTCAGAAATAATAGAAAATATACAGAGGTTAGATAAGGTGTTCACATCACGCTGGAAGGTTAATCTATACCTTTGAAGAAATCAGTGCACATGTTGATCAGAGACCTATTCTCTGCAAATGTTAAAAAAGTCGCATTTTGTTCTCATTTAAAAATACCATAGTCATTACTGCTACAGAAAGGAACCGTGTTACTTCGGTCTGACATGTGCCATGTCACAGTATATGGAAATAGAGAAATGCACTAAAAACATGATGAGAAACAAGACAGTAACACCTTTTTTGGTAGCAGCGGCATCACAAAACACCACAGACCAAATTCTTAACCGATGGAAGGTGACATATCTCCCCCTGAATCAAAAAAAACACAAAGTATTCACTAAGAATCTGGACCACAAACAAAACATCCTGATGCTGTATTCTGTCTTTCCCTTCAAGGTCAAAAAAGAGGAGAAGGGGTAACGGTCCTGTCTAACTCAAGAAGCAACAGCAAAGTCATCCCATCCATCCACCATCCCTTGGGTACTCGGCACTCCACCTGCAGTGCCTGGGAGGCTACATAAGCCTCATGGGCCCTGAATTTATTCAGGGGCTTTCCAGGATCATGACAGCTGGTACAGGCAGAAGCCCAAGGCAGTAAATGATTAAGCGATCCACACCATCTCCTGGACACTGGAATTAGGAATGTCAGGCAATGTTGGATCCTAGTACAATGTAGGTAACGAAAACAAGAAAGCATTGCTTTTAAAGACA